TAGTAGCGATGCACTTGTTACTAGTAGCTTCTTGTTCCTAGTAGTACTGGCATGAACACTCCCTGCTGTTGCGTTCTGGCCTCCGCTTGCAGTTGTTCCGGCAGCCTCAACAGATGCTTCTCGGAGGCACAGGGTATGCTGAAGACTTGGTTAGGACTAATGACAGGTCTAAAGACCCAAAGAAATATGAACAGCACAACACATGAAACAATCTTTTCTATTTTTAAAGTAGTAGGTAGCCATCTCTCTCTCTCTCTCTTGTGTTGCTTTGAAACCACAAACCTCCAAGAAGGGCTGAACGTCCGTTGGATGCCTCCTGCTTGGTGGGTTTTGCAAGGCTTGAGTGCCGCCGAGGATCCCTTACTTCCACTTTGAACCAAGAGGGCCAAACGCCAAAGGTCTTGGCTGCAACTAGCTACCCTTAGCTAGGACCCTAGGCGCTACCTGGCTTTCCCTGCTTGGAGACCATGGGATTGCTGGGTGTCCGAGCCAAAAGTTCGCTTTGTAGCTGCACCTCAAGCTGCTCACTGGCCTGACAGCTCTTAAACATACCAATTCGCTTTTCATGCGGAATCAAACATCACAGCGGACATTTTTAAGAATGGTAGAAAGCTGTTTAAGGCTTTCCAGGCTAAGACGCTGCTGCCCTTGTTTTCTCCACGCACGGACGGCATCAATTTTAAGCCACCTTCTCATCTATCCTTCTTTTGCTGCGTGCAGTTTTCAAAAGTCGTCTTCGTCATCAAAGTCTTCCTCCTCCTCTTCCTCCTCTTCCCGTTCCGAACCGGACGACAGCTCCTGCATCAGCTCATCTGCACTGGTGGGCCCTGATGGAGGCATTAGCAGCTTCTCCAACTCATCACTGTCATATGCAACCGTGAAACAGTCCAATCCAAAACAAGCGTCGAAATCTCGGGCATCCCTGAGGGCCTTCCACATATGCCCCAAGGCTGTGAGGCCAGCAGCATCCACCGCCGAGACGTCAGCGCGTGCTTCAATGAGCCTCGCACAGACCTCCGTAGGCACTGAGAGGACGCTCTTGGAAAGAGCACCAACCGCCGCCTTGGCAGCCAACGTGAGCGGCGATAGGCCTGACTCATCCGGTTGGTTCACCGCCTTCTCGGGAGATGTTAAGCGCAAGAGGATCTCCAGCTCCTCCATGTCACGGTTGTACGCGCAACAGTGGATGGCACGGGAAGCTTCAATGGAGGCACCCTGCTTGATTAGATTAGATATCTGAGCTTCAGTTCCTTTGTTCTTCACCAGCTCCAGCAAGTCCTTATTGATGCCTGATGGTGGGCTGCCAGTCTTCGGTTTGAGGACAGCCGTGGACTCGGCTTCTTTGGCCGACTTCATGGGAATTTCAAGGAAGCTGGGCACGGCAAACAAGATGATGCCAACACCCTCCAAAGCAAGCTCTTTGGCTTGAACGAAGCCAGCCTGAAGGAACCATGGCAGCTCCCTCTCACTGGGTATGACCACGGCTACACTCCATCTTTCTCTCAAGATCGTGTCTTGCAAGAGCTTTCGGATCACCACCGCACCTGCATCTTTCTGCTCGAAGATGGCCGAATTCTCCTCACCCACCTGCTCGATGTACAAGAAGCCACCGGACATCACCTCCCCACAAGCCTTGACGGCACTCAAACGAATCCGCCCCCGAGAGTCGCAAAAGCTGGTCCCAACCAACTCCAAGTCTGCGGATTCCGCGTCGCAGGCCTCGTGGAAGTTGTAGCGGGTGCCGTTTTTGGGCCTTTGAAGCAGCACCATCTTGGCTTGAGTTCGCTCCCCTGCCAGGCAGACCCTCGCTCTCATCACATGCACGCCATCAAATTCCGCACAACCCTTGTGCCCCAGTTCAGTGTAGTAATGCCGTAGAAAATCAGCCGAGTCAGCCGAGTCTTCCCCATCCTCATCCTGATCCTCCCGAATCATTTCTCGTCCTCTCACCACTTGCACCGCCGCCAGCTGTGGGGTTCGGCGCACCAGGCCCCGAAAAGCCACCGACACCGCGGAGACAGCAGCACCATCCCTCTGGAGCAGATTCGGCAAGACATGAAGCACGATCTCATCGTGCTTGATGAATTCCATGAGGACGTAAGTAGTATCACCCAAAATCACCCCCAAATCACCCCAGACTGCATCTAACATATCTCTAACTACTTAGTCTCTTTTTAGTCTCTTTGTGTCCAAGATCTCAAGAGGTTGAAAAAGACAAGTAGTATCGAGTAGTTACAGCTTTCCTTCAATAAGGGAATGTAGCTTGCACTTGTTCCCTCAAAAACGAGTCCTAGAAATCATTGGCTACTTGTGTAAGCTTTCTTCATCTGAGCAAACAGATAATAAATCAAGCCGCTTTCACCCATTGTATCATGCAAGGATGGTCAATCAAAAACATAATAAGCCACCAAGCCACTGCTGGTCTTGTTTGTCATGCAGCAGACTTGAGATGAGTTCAACACCCAAAGAAAAGCCTTGAAGTCTGCACGTTGCAGGCTATACCCGCCTCTAAATCAGCAACTAGCTGTCGGCAATCCTCCTCCTTCATAGCTTTGACTTGGCTGTCTCCATATTGGATTTTTAGTCACAAACACCAGGACCACCGCTAGTCAAAGATGTGAGCCGATGCGAGATATTACGCAGTGAAACAAAGGTCTAAAGGTCGAACACAAAGAGGACAAAATACAAAGTTGGCGATGGGATGGATACCATGTAGAAACAAGTGCCACGCTAGTAGTAACAGGTGCCTTACTAGTAGTAACAAGGACGCTACTAGGAACAAGAAGCTAGTAGAAACAAGTATGCAATGGCGAAGGGTCTTCAAACACGTGCTCACGAGTCCTGTCTCTCCAACTCTGCTTGTAGCGCCACACTTCGGACCTTGGTGACGGCACACTCTGAACAACGGAAAAAACAACACCAAAAAATGATAAGAAACAAGGTAAGGGCTTATGCTCCCCCCTTGAAGGTCCCTTACCTTCTTTTCTTCTTTGTACCATTTTGATATCTCAATTCTGAATTGGAGACTTGGAAGCTGCTGCTTGAATGAACCTTTTGTGCACTTTCTATTTTTTTCGTGTGTGGCTGGCCCCAACAAAGACACCTGACAGGACACCCTGCTCTGTATCACAGTTGCCATTCCTCACACTTGCCTTGCCTTACACGAAAACTTCTTGAATCAAAAACAGCCTTTGAGCCTGCCCTGCGGCCCTGCGACGAAGCGCTTTAGAGTAGGGCGATCAGGCGGCCACTTGGCCCTTACTTTCTTACTTTCCAAATGCGGAATCGCCACGGAGATGGTGGACTTCTCCTGACCCAGCTCGAAGAGTTGGATCTCGGTGCCCAAGGTTCGGAGAAACAACGGATCTGCTTTGCCCTATCTGCTTTTGTCAAAGAAGTGTTCTAGCAGTTTGGCAAAAGTGTTCTAGCAAGTAGCAAAGGGTAGCCCAGCCTTCAACTTACTCAAGCCTAGTAGTACTTTCTTTTTCGACAAGAAAAAGGTTCAAACGAGAGACACACGGGGGCAGCAAAAGAAAGAAAGTTGTTGGAACATCGTGAATCCATCACAATACCGATTCGTATTGCATACTTCGCCGGGAAGCTTGAAGGATCGGGGCACTTCTAAGGCTCCAACGCTCAGTTCGCGGATCTGATGATGAAGTTGATCCAACTGGGGAAGAGCGGTCGGCGGCTTCAAGGTGGGGTAGCAAAAGGTGTAAGGCATTACCCAACGACTTCTAGTGATGTGGCCTATTGATTAGAGTGATTCCCCTTTTTGTAGCGAGCAATAGAGGGGGAGCGAATAGAAAGTCCAAAACAAACAGTAATTCAAGGGAGTCGGGTCTGTTTTTTTTTTTTTTTTTCCGAAAGGAACAACAGGCAAAGACAATGAGTTCAGGCAAGAACAAAAGAAGGCTAAGCACGGATCTCAAAGGGAGCCAATTGCTTAGCAATGGAAATTGAAGATATACTCTACACATATTTTTGTGGACAGCACTTTATATGTTTCCATCTCATCACCCTACTCAACACCCAACACTTTCAACCGTGTAAGTGAGAAGTTCGAAACGCTGCAGCATTTTGATAGGAGTGCCATTCCTCAGGATCGTACTGCCTGGAATGGTGCAATGCTTTGTAAAAGTGCCCTGACTACTTGGCCTTCAGGTCGTTTTCCCCAAACATCTAGGAACCAATCATTAGTGCGAGCGCTTCCTTGAAGAAGCGTGAGCTATCCTGCGTCCAACTCTAGTAGCTTCCTATTGCTAGGAGCGAACTTGTTCCTTACTTACTTAAGTAGGTAGTCTCTAGTTGATTATGGAGGAATTGGAGTTTCCCTAAAACTAGGAACCAAATGAATAGTTCGTGAGCTATCCTGCGTCCTAGGTAGTAGCTACTTAAGCTACTAGCCACCTCTCCCTTACTTAATTAAGTAGGCGCCGATATAAAAAGTAGGGAGGGGGGGAGTGGGTAAAAGAAACAATACACGTTTTCATCCATTTCGCCTCGTTCCCGTGGAAGGCGTCGTCTTTGATGCCTCGACCGACGCATTGCCGACCGGCCTTCGGTCGGTCTCGTCATCTCTGTTTGGAAAATAACTGCAAAACACATATTGTTATACTTGAGAAGCTACTAATAGCTCCTGGCATCGCTACTAGGAGCAAGGACGCTACTAGGGGCTCCTGGCCGTACTACTAAGGAACAAGAAACTACTAGTAACAAGGGCATCGCTAGTAGTAGCGAACATTGCTCCTAGTAGTACGGCCACGAGCCCCGATCGTAGCGTCCGATCGCTCCTAGTAGCGATGCCAGGAGCCCCTAGTAGCTATTTTGGAGAACCGTTTGGATTTCGAGTTTGCATTTCTGAATATAGCTGAACTGAGAAGCAAAAAGTGCAAGCTGATTAAGAGCTTCAAACTTGTGCAAAAAACGCCTGGAAGTGACAGCAAGTCTGTAAAGGCAAGATAGTGAAGAACACATGGTGACATTCAGTTTCGATCAATACGGAAACCACGTCCTGACGCAAGACTTTGACACAGTGCCTCCTGCATTGCGCAGACGCTTGGCCTTCCAGGTTGACAGTCACAATGGCTTCCGCCTTTTTCTTTCCTGTTTTCTTTTGACCTTGAGACCTTAGGTTGGAGGCCATAGCGTCATAGTGACTTGCACCTTTTTCTTTATTTTCTTTATTCCCCAAGCAGTTTACTGTTGGGGTTCTATCTTAGAAAAAAAGAGCTGGCCACACTCACTGGCCGCGCCCCTGAACTCTGTGGCTGGTCTCTGTGGCCCGGTTTACTGGAGAGGAGTGTGCCCGAACAAATAGCGATGTCGATGCCAACAAACATCATTGATGAAGCAGTTTGCTCTTGGGGGAGGGTAGGGCGTACCAAGAAATTGTTTTTTGACTAATATTGGTCCAAACGAATCGTTTTGAAGCTGTTTGGGTTCTATGCTGGTATAATTGTTTTCTTTTGACCTTGAGGCCTTAGGTTGGAGGCCATCGCTATTAGGTTGGAGGCCATTGCGTCATAATGACTTGCACTTTTTTCTTTATTGTTTTCTTTTGACCTTGAGACCTTAGGTTCAATCCATCGCTATTGGGTTGGAGGCCATTGCGTCATAATGACTTGCCCCTTGTTCTTTCCTGTTTTCTTTTGCCCTTGAGACCTTTGTGATTTTGCTTTCTTTGGTTCTTTTCCTGCCATGTGACGTCTGCTCTGATCAAGTCTTCAATATGACATCTCATGTGACATCCTCCAGTCCAATGTTGCCTGACTCGCAGTGTCATCCTGGTTCATCTGCAGCTCTGCCCAGGTGTCTCGCATCCGCCTCGCCTGTGCTGGAAGCTTTTAGATCAACCAGCACACATATTTTTTTTGCCTCAAATAATCTCTTATCAACCAATTTCACCAACTGTAAACACACCAAGAACTCTAAAAATATGTATTTTGTGTATGTATGTAGTATGTAGGTATGGCCATGGCCATGGGTGCTTCAGAGGCACCTCAGAGGCAAGGTGGCTGCTCCAATGCTCAGCTGCAGCCTGGAGTCGTTTAACAAAAAAAAGGAGGGGGTTGTGGCTTTTTAAAGGCTTTGATTCCTTTCCCACAACAATATGTACCAGGTGCTGCGGGGATCTATACCTGCAAACTCACTCTTTGCAGTCTCGGCCAGGCCTGTGCTTTGAGCACCTGTGCTTCCGCCAGGTCGCGTTCCTGCGAAGAGCGCTGTGGCACATTGCAGTGACTACATTCTGACAACATAGATCATCTTCTTTTGAGTTACTAATAGCGATGGCCTTCAACCTAGTAGCGATGGTTCTGAAACGGAAACCACTGACTGCCTGGTGTCTTTTTCAACGTCTCCTTCTCCGCCTGCTGTAGCCGGCGCTCCAATTGCACCTGCAAAATCCCGGAGAACGAAACCAGTTGCCAACATGTGTATCGGGGGCCATCTGCCACTGGCACAGCCACTGGTGAGCCAAGTTGGCCGAGTTTAGACACGCTTCAAAGCCAAGAACTTCTCATGGGCTTTTCTTTACAAACTACTGCTACTATTTGTACAAACAAGAATGCACTTGTCCAACCGGGATTTTCTGTGTGCCAGGCTTCTGGTGAGAGAGGTTGGCTACGAGCATCAGCCTTATGGCCAGGGGAGTTGAAGATCGAAGGAGCGATCGCAGCTTTGGAAGCTTCACCTTTTGAACTTTTTGTTGGACACATGTTGCACCAAGGAATGCCTGATGCCGCAAGTGATACCTATCTGGTGTTATTGTAAATTCTTAAACGAAGGCCTTAGGAAGACTTTAAGAAGAACACATACGCCTGGATCAAGAATTGGACCGATCACTTGCGAAGGCCAAGAAAATCTTGCAAAAACACATCTTCCAGGGCTGTTCGTTGGAGGCCACCGCTATTAGGTTGGAGGACTTCAGCTTTGAGGTTTCTTTCGTTTGTTTCACGCCTCAGGTGTCGCCTGTGATGAGGATGCCCCACCTGCCAGTCAGTGATCAAACTTTCTTTGGGCCACACCGGATCAGCAAACGGAATTGGCTTTGACCTCGCACCCTCAGGTCAGCAGTGCCAGCAGTTTTCTTGGTCAACTCTTCAGCCCAAGTGGAGTGCGAGAGTTGTAACTCAGAAAGAGTATGGAGAGAGTGGAAAGAATGTGGTCTTCAAGAGAAACTCTAACACTTTCCGTTCTATCCCATCCCGCCTTTCCATGTCCCAGGACTTGACCTGAAGAGGAGAGGAGCGACTTGACAGCCAGTCGGATTGTTCAGGTTTCTGGTAGCTCAAGGAAATGTAGGAAGTGCGCGGAAAAACACTCTTTTCCCCAAACAGTTTACTGTTGGGGTTCTCTCTTAGGAAAAAAATGGGCTGGCCACAGTGGCTGGCCGCCGTGTGTCCTCCTCTTGTCCTTCCCTTGTCCTCCTGGTGCTTGCTGTTGTCCTGCTGTTGTCCTCTGGCCGCTCTGGCCAACCCTGTGTCCCCCTGTTCTCTTGTCCTCTTGGTACTTGCAGTTGTCCTTCTTCGGGTCTTCTTCGGCCGCGGCTGCTAGCCTATCTCCGGTTGTACTCCTCCCATCATCGTCTTGCCTTTCTCTTGTCCTCTCTTCCTCTTATAGTCTTGTTCTCCTCTTGGCATGCTCCCCTCATGTGCTTGTCTGGTCACAGCTTGTCTTTCTTTTGTCCTCCTGGTGTGTTCATGTTGCCTTCCTTCCCTCATCCTTTTGTCCTTTGTTGTCCTCCTTATGTCCTCCTCTGGTCTTTCTGTTGTCCTGCTGCTGTCGTGCCGTTCGTTGCTTTCCGAGGCAGGCCCACGACAACAATGATTCTCGCCGACTAAGCTGTTTGGGGTCTATGCTGGTATAATTTCCTTCAGTCCTCCTTGATCTGTGAGCTGTCCATTGAGCGCTCGGCACGAAGCGGGGAGTGCTCACGCCATGTCCCTGGCAGCGGATATGGTGGAAGTCATTCTGGCTTAGGAGGGAGGGGCACTTTCAGAGAACTAATTATGGGACACATTGGCTGACATCATGAAGTCAACGGCGTGAGATACTGAAGGAAACACTTGGCTATTCCAAACCTGAGCCCAACCTGGTAGACTCTTGTTCTGTTCGTGTTCGGGCTCAATGAGCTTGAGCCAGCCAAAACGAATCCATCGGCGACCCTTGAGTTTGCCTCGACCACCCAGTCGGGCACCTGAAGCTGCAAAGTTTAACCAAAGAAGAGAGCTGTGGAAGGGAGTAACAGTATGTTTATTCAAAGTGTTCAAAATAAAAAAATCCAAGGAAAGTATATTTCTGTTTTCTTCTGTCACTTGAGGAGGCCGTACTTGACTGGTCACCTCTGTTGTACTTGCGGGATTGCTTTCTGGAGGTGTCACAAACATTGAATGTCTAAGCAGAACATTGTGCCACGACTTTACACGATTCCTGAGAACAATTGCTTCCTGCCCCTTAGTCTGCTGGTGTTCCTTTACCTTTGTTCCTCTTGTTCTTTCTTCTTTATTCGGAATCGGAACTTGTGGGCCCTTGGGCGCTTGCTCTCACTCGTTGAGGAAGTCGTCGACTTTGGACTCCACAAGGGCCTCTGACTGCACTTTGCAGTTCAGGAGGAACAGTGGAAAGAAGGATTACAAGAAGAATCACAGGAAAAGCACAATAGCAAAAGAATCGACACAAACAACAAAAGAACACATTAAGTTTCATCGCTTCTCGTTTCTGCTATACGCAAAAGAACAGCAAAGCAAAGGGAATAGGGCCGGCCGCAAAGTTTTTTCTCAGAATCGTTTTCTTTGATTTTGAAACACAAAACATGGATTTTGTTTAACTAAAAGTGATACACACATGAAATATCTGTTCCCCCAAACATGTTACATCTTGTGCAAGGAAGGCGATTTTCCGGAAACCCGAACACTGCAGTGCATGAGGCCTGAATGTCGAGATGTCTTACGGCTTCTCTTGATTTTTTGGCTTATTCTGTATTCTGTATTCTTTCTCTTTAGACCCATTAGAAACAAGTGCATCGCTACTAGGAACAAGTGCATCGCTTCTAGTAACAAGTGCCTTACTAGTAGTAACAAGAAGCTCTAGACCTTTTTCTCTCCAATTTTTAAAGAATCGGTCTACGTCTTTGGAGCGGCACTATTTCTCTGGCCAAACCTGTCGTTTGCTTTTGTGACCTTTGGACCTTTTCTGTGCTTTTTTCTTCCTTTTCCTGTTTCTAATGGCTTCTTGTTACTACTAGTAAGGCACTTGTTACTAGAAGCGATGCACTTGTTCCTAGTAGCTTATTGTTCATTTATTCAACAATTCGTTTCATTTTCTTTCATTTCATTTCGTCTTTTCTTCCTTCCTGCCTTTCTTTCTGTCTCGAGATTGTATTTACCATAGCCACAATACTATAGCGCTAGCATGACGTGCGATCGTGCTCGGTCTCAACTTCCCTGAGCAAGAACACCAACGAACACGTTACACGGTTGCACTTCATGGCACTTCATCAACACGTCTAGGTTCTCTGGCTGCACTCATGCAGGCTTTCGCAGGTATCCTCCTGGGCGCCACGCAAACGCATTGTTGGCAAGGAGCAGGACACAAACACCCACTGACAAGGACGCTGCTAGGGGCTCCTGGCATCGCTACTACTAACAAGGATGCTATTAGGAACAAAGGGCATCGCTACTAGTAGCAAGAACGCTACTAGTAGCTCCTGGCCAAAAATACAATTGAATCCAAAGATTCCCTAAGTTAAGGCTTTCTTGTTTGACACAGGCGACAAGTTCATTCTGGTTGAAGGTGGTTTCAGTTTTGGCAGTCTCCCAGACCTAAAGCCTGTTGCAAGAAGAGAGTGGCTTAATACGAGTAGCACGCTTGTCAGGCATTGCAGAAGCCCAAGCTTGAGTAGCGTTTTGGGAACGTGAAGACCCAAAACTGAGTGGACGCATCCTGGAAAGTAGCGGGTGCATTCTAAGGGCCTTATAGCAAGGGGCAAGCGCTGGCACAAACATCAAGCCGTTCCATTTCGTACTTGATGCATCTGCCGATGCAACCACTTTTGCGTTACAAAAAAGGTCACCCATTCGGAAACAGGTCGCCATGTGGCTTGGATTGGATAGCTGTACAGTAATTGTCCACTCCGAGATCTTCTGGGTTCCGGTACTGAATTTTGCCGCGACCAGCGAGACCTTTCTTGGTGCAATGCTGGCTGGAATGACGCTCAACATGTTGACATCAATCCTCCCACTGCTTCTACTCATAACGAGCAGGTGTGACATGTTCATGGACAAGTTGGTGGCTCGTGTCATGAGTCTTCCGTCTTTACAAGCATGCTACTATGCTTTCTGTATGGACATGACTCCTTCCTAACAACACATATTATCTAGTTTGTTCTCCCTTTCACTCCCGGGCAACTTCTGCAACTAAGTCGAATGCCTTCTCAAGCGAGAAAACAGCCCCCTTCCCTGTACAATCGGCCCATCTCTGAGCTTCGAACGCATCTAGCTTCCCAGGTGCCTTCCGACCGCCCCAAGCACATTGACCCCGAAACCCATATCTTACAAAGTATAAGTTGTAATATAAGTTAAGTTTCCTTAAAGATCTAGAAACTAAATCATTTGTGCGCGAGCTGTCCTGTGTCCGTACTAGTAGCTACTTAAGCTACTAGCTACCTCTAGCTACTTCTACGGCTTACCCCTCGTCCCCGGTCTAAAAAGAAAGGAAGGTGTTTTTTCTTTTGCTCTGCCACTGTGATCCATGCCTTCGCACTTGAAGCCGCGATCTTTGGCATCTGCGGACGAAGAAATTCAAGCGAAGTCTTGACAGGTCAGACCAGGTCACATGATCGAACATGTTTTTCCTGTCTAGTAGTAACAAGGTTCGCTACTAGGAACAAGTGCCACGCTAGTAGTAACAGGTGCCTTACTAGTAGTAACAAGAAGCTATTAATTTAAACTTAATTTATATCTGTCTCGAGATGTCAGTTGAAAACTGTCCACTATTGATCTCTGACAACCCTTCAGGAACATATCATGGCCCATGGCATGGTCTTGTTGTTCACTGTTACGCATTCTAAGTACTGGACTTCTGAAGACTTTGAATGATTTGTAGACAGAAGGATCTGGGGAACAAGCATAGTATTCATAGTATTCATGGATGTTCCAAACATTGCTGTGAAGTATCTTTCCAAGTTCATTTTGATTCATGATCGCTATTCGGTTGGAGGCCGCTAGTAGGTTGGAGCCCATTGTCCTCGGGTTTTCACTTCTCGTCTCCGGCCTTAGCTGAGTCTCCTTCCACTTTCCGCAGGCGGGAGGAGAGCTTGGCCACCAGCTGGCGGAGCGGTGTTGGAGAAAGCTTCAGAAAGAAGATAGGTCTCATTACATATAAAAGCTACTAGGAACAAGTGCATCGCTACTAGTAACTAGCGATGGCCTCCAACCTAATAGCAGAAAACACACCAAAACCATGTCATTTTACTTCTTGGCCGTAGAGCTGTACCAAAATAACCCACCGCCTCAAGCACGTGAACACACGAACACACGTGGAAGGAAGCAAAGAACAACTCCCAAATCCCCAAAAAGAATAAAGGAAGAAAGAATGCTCTAAAGTCTAAAGGAATGGAAAAAAGACAAACACACAAACAACAAAGGAAGACTCTTGCACCCAACATGGAAATGACCCGCTCCCTCCCGTGCACCTCAGGATCCATTGCTTCTCCAAAGACCTGCCGAAAGGTCTTTTCGTCTATGAACAGTTCGCTTCGGAGTCAATTCATCGTACGTAGTATGGGATCCCTAAGATCTGCATGGAACAATACCCTGCCTTGCCTCGCGTTTTGGTGGCCTTGACGCACAGCGACTCTATTTTCCTTCATTTGCCGCTACCACCATGAGTCAGGATGCTCCGAATCGATGCACTTTGTAGGACTCCATGCTGTACGACTTTGTACGACAGAGCATTCTCTTCACCACAGAGTCCCTGGATTGTAACCGGCATCACTTGAGGTTGAATGCCTTGTAATGCCTTGTGCCGCCTTCTTGTTCTTCTCGCCCATCGATCTCTACTTTGCTGACAGAACTGACTCCAAAAAATCTGGCCGATGTCCGTTGCCTTTGGCCAGAAGCCAGAAGCTCCGAACCTCTTGCAGAAAGCAATCTGCGAAAGCCTGAGAGCTCAGGCCAAACCGAAGCACGTTGAAGTCCAAGTCCGGTTTTGGGCTGCCTGACGCTGGCTTGTCGCTTTGGACCTGTCTGGAGGGCGTCAAAGCTCGGATTGCCGCGGTCCGGAAGGCTTGCGAGAAAAAGGCATCAGGAAGTACTGCAAGGTCCGGAAGGTTGGCTTCCTGAAGACAAACCGCCGGCAGTTGGCACTGGATCGAAGATTGGGAGAGTCTTGTGAGCGTTTCGGGCAGCAACAAGTTCAGCACAGGACAAAAAATGAAGGAAGTCTGAAAGGAGTACTCGGTTGCAAACATGTTTTCAATCTAATGTGGAGCTAGCACGAAGATCTTTGTACATCATGTGCATGGATAAGTATCTGCTGAGACTCTGCTTTGTGTTGAGAGGCAAAAGCGCGAAGGTGGCATTGTGCGGGAAATTTTCCTGCAGCGACAGATTGCTCTCTGATCGAGTCAACTGAAGTGAACAAGGCGTGGCGTCTTCTTAGAGCACCAGCGTATTTCTGTCACAGCATGAACATAATCTATCACTCGATTCCAAACCACGCAAATAAGAAAAGACTTCACGCATTCTTTTTTTCCAACATTGAAACATCATATTGATTTCAGCGGGGATCGCTACTAGGAGCAAGAAGCTACTAGGGGCTCCTGGCATCGCTACTAGGAGCAGGGATCTACTGAATTACTAGCTTCTTGTTACTACTAGTATGGCACTTGTTACTACTAGCGTGGCACTTGTCTCTAATAGTTTTTTTGTTACTAATACCTAAACTCTTACTCCACGTTTGCGAGGCTCGCAGATGACATGTCGTCACGTCGTCACGTCGTCACGTGTTGGTCTCACGTAGCGCTGCCGCTGAACTTCTCCTTGAACTTTTCGGACTCGAGTTCATCAGCTTCACGTTTGAATGCCAGGAGGATCCTGGCTTGAACGCTGCATGAAAACACAAGCCTGTAATGCTTATTCGTCAGGAATTCAAGGAGGACACTGAGGGGACACTGCCATGTTTCATGTGATCCTCTTATCATCTAAACCAAGCCGCGGAAAGTTGGCATCCTCGCCTTGGCGAGCACAGAAGGCTTGGAACTTTTCCAACTATCAATTGCAGTCATCGGAATAAATTGAACTCCTCCAAATGCAACCTCGCATTTTTGCCGGGGATAAGGGATACTTGAGGCCGAGGGTAGGTGACGAAAGCTAGCAGGGGTGCATCCGG